CAAAAGCTTTGCGCTTGGATGGGAGCTTGCACATTTAAGTTCAAAATAGAAAACAAGGCCTATTAATCAAATAAAAGGTGCCCCAAAATGGTTAGTGTGGCTTCTAGTTTTGTTAATTTCCGAATTTCAAATAAATCGGTTGCTTAATATGCACAGATGCCCCGTTTTCCAATTGGAACGTTTGAAACAGTCGATAATGAAACGCAAGCCCTTCGTTGGAGAAAGAGCGAAACGCTTAGAATCGGGCCCCGTTTACTTCGTAGTCGCTGGTGCGGGCATGGGTCTTGACTTACCTAACGGATTATTACTCTAAGCAATTTACATAATAAGGAGATTTCAATATATGTACTTGTATAGTATATGCATATACGAGTATGTGTGTATATAAGGTAGTATGCATGTATAATAGACATCTATTGGATATTAGATTCGCTAGTACTTGATCAATTAGCGACATTCCTTAATCAATTTGTTTTTGTTTCAAAATTATCACCAGTAATTACGCGCGACGACTACACAATGCAGTTGTCCCTTCGTCCCCCAAAGCTCCCCAATCCTGTGGGTTGAATTCTGTTTTTGTCTGTCTGTTTATATGCTTAACTGCTTGACTGTATAAGTACCTATCTGTGTCGCTGGGTGTAGTGTGTGTGTAATTTGTGGTGTAATTATGTCAAGTTTGCCTTGTTCTGTAACTGTAGCTTAAATGGCAAAGCGATGCGCCCTGTCCTGGGCTTGCTTGCAGTTCAATTGACTTCCGCTGTATATGTACATATTTATTTATGTATATATATATATATATATATATATATATAGATATATATATATATATAGAGATATATAGATATATAGATAGATATATATATAGATAGAGATATATATATATATATATATATATATATATATATATATATATATACTATATATATATATATATATATATATATATTAATGTATGTATGTATGAGTTTATATTACTATTATATCATTTAAATATAAATATTTTTAAGTGTATGTATGTATGAGTGTACGTCCACGCGCTTACACGTGAGTTTGTGTGTGTGTGTGTGTACGTGTTAGTGTATGTGTACGTGCGTATAAACTATGAGCCTATAAGAATATAGTTGAGTTTTCTTCTCAATATGCATTTGATCATCGTATTAGTTAGTATTATCGTATTACCTATGAATTCGTTTCGGTGTACAAAGTTCTTAGTTTGGTTAGTGTTTATGTATCTTCACAAAACAGAAGCGAACGCAAAACAAAGGCAACGAAAAAGGCCTGGGGTCTTGTTAAGCACCACATAGCAAAATAAATTTTTTGTTTTTGGGCAGTTTTCAACTCGTGTCGTGGGGTCTGATGTGGCTTGTTGTTTTGTTGCTGCATTTCTCTTGGACGGTTTCATAAAATGTACATACATTGGGCATGTCTCCTTGGTTGACTGACATTCGTTGATTCATTAATTGAATACTGGCCCGGCTAGTGTGCAAATATTAAGTGACTGGCGGGCGAGCCGCTGGTTGGGTTGTGATAGTAGTGTGAAATTCAATGCCAGGATCGGCGTCGCCGATCTGCATTTGGCATTTGGTAAACATTTGGAATGCTCGACCAATCCAATCAGTCGATTCTGCTTTTTACAACTGTCCTAGCTCAGGCAGCTCAAAATTGTATGGTTTTTCGGGTGTGCCTCTTCTTCTGGAACGACGATCGTTCTCAGTTGTTTTTTGGGGATGGGCAATGAAGTAAGAGTTGTATATTTAGGAACAGACAGCACCTACCTTGTGCCTCAAGCGCGTTGCGCATTGCGTGTTTCGCGTTGTGCGCTTCGACGCTCAACTTGTTCGGCAGCTCGGAGAGTTGAAAACTACGGGGTAATTGATTACAAAAGGTGAACAAAAGTCAACGGAAACGAAACTAAATACTAGGCTGGTCAACTACTTAAAATGACATGCAAGGATAAACAGAAGGGCCAAATAGCCAACAAACGTGAAAACAAGTTAATCTGTATGGGCATTGGGAAGTTGTAGTTCTAGAATCCCAACTCCCGATTCTAAATTTGATTTAACAAAATTTCACTAATTTTATTTGAATTAAAAAACGTAATGAAATAAATATAAAAGTTGCTACTAAAGTTATTTTCTTACTTTCCTTTGGCTAGGGCTCTTTTCTCGAATCGGAAACGCAAGCAAGGTAAATCAAAATATTTTCGCTAAATTAGTATTAGTGATTAGTAATTACAAGGTATGCTTCTTAGGTCTAGTTATAAGCTACGCAATTGTTTTTTTGTTCTTTCCAAAACGCCTATTCAAAAACAATTCTTTCTTGCGTTTGGATTATACATATGTATAGTATATGTATGTATGATGTGTTCGCAGCTAATCGTTCGGTTGCCGAGAGACGCCTATAAATGGGTTTTACATTTTTAATGCTTAAATTGTACAATTGGTAAAATTAGGCTGCGCTTTATAGTTAATGCTTTTTAAAACTTCGATATGTTGACAATTCAGGATCTTCACTTGTATAATTTGGCATGTCATTGTTAATCGTAAATGATGATTAGCTTTTATTTCATTTATTGTAAAATCAAAAGGGGCGTTATGGGTGTATGTATCTGTGTTTTGTGTAGGTGTGTGTATGTGTGGTTTGCGAGGACTAGTTCATAGCTGGGCAATTATTTTGCCATTTCTCAATTCCTCCGAATACACGAAAAACTAAAAACAAAACCGAAAACTCCGTCGAAAAAAAAACCCAGTTGGCATCTACTTTAAAATATATTTCTTTTTATAAAAAATGAGCGCGCAGTTTTCATACAAACTCTGGGCTTAGAAAGTACGCGTAAATAATAACAACAAAATTAAATATTAAATAAATCAAATTACATATACATACATACATGGATAGAACTTAATGGGTGCTTGTGTTGTTGTGCTGATGCATCTTAGACCTTAAGTACCACTCAGAACAAGTGAAAGCAATTGCTATGCACGAGTACATTATTCAAGTTAGCTCTGCAGAAATTGGACAGACGTGAGGTTTTCAAGACGCGCACAACTTCATATGTATATAATGGGAAAATATTAACAATAGAAATTCCACATGATTAATATTAATATATTTAGGTGTAGGCGTAGGTATGTATATATGTATATTATAGCTACCAAGTATTATTATGTAGTACTGTATTTATTATACATTTATCCATTTATTTATGCACTAATTAGGAGCTTCAAGATCGTCGTTGCTTTAAGTTTCTTAAAAAAATTAGAGGTTAGCGAGATTTTTGTCATAAAATCATTTATAAAGATTAAATTAAGTACAATAACAGCTAATTTAAAGAATATATTACATTTTTTGTTTAAAACAATTTACAGAATAATAAATAAGGTAAAGTAGTGTTCTGAAAAACGCACAAATTAAAAAAACAATACACTTAAAAACTTACATCGCCGTCGTCGATGAAGTCAACTCATAATAAATATACTATATAATGATGGATAATATATGATGGATGACATGATTGTGGTTGAAAGCACAAAATCAAATTGCACATGCGAATGAATATAACACATTCTATTCATTCATCCCTCTTCCTCTCGCGTACGTAATGAAATGTAAAATTCGTTTAGCAAAGTTATTTCTGCGCTTAATTCGTTGATTTGCTTAATTACCCAATTGCTCGTCCTAGATATAAATCTGTCTGTCTTTATGTGTCTGTTTGTGAACATAACATAGAGGTGTGTGGGTGTGTGTGTATATGTGTGTGTCAACGCCCTGGTAAGTATTGCATACATACATCATCTTCATCATCATTATTATAATGATGGGTGCAGGCAGGACTGGAGCACAACCGCACCCAAACTTAAGATACAATTTTAAATCTAGCTGCATTCTCTTTATCTAAACTGAAATGTTGGCATATTTTTTTTTTTTTTATTCAAGTGCTCGTCGTGATTCACAATATGGAGCCGCATTTGTTGCATTGTTACTATCGATTTGCTTTGTTTTGTAATCATTTTTATAACGATCCTCCACTATTTCATTTCTATTTGCTGTTATAGATAATGTAACATATGCATTTGATATGGTTGTTATTGTTGCTTTTATTGCTGATATATTTCAATCAAATTCCCACTCCTCTGCCTCTTTTTGCACGGTGCGCACAATCGATCGAGCTGTTCACCCCGCGTAGTTTTTGCAATAGTCTTCTTAAGCGCCTCAAAAATATTATTCTCCTGCTCGCTTAGCTCTTTTAGTTGCACTCTACTCCCTCTCCCATCTTTTCTTTATTTTTATTTTTTTCTTTTCACGCTGCCTAAGTAACTTATGCTAAAAATGTAATATGTTTCGTCGTCTATGGATTTTGTTTGCTGCTTTCTTTATGTTATTCAGCTGCTTGTCTATCAAGTTGCTTTTCTCCTCAACTTTAAAATAAAATAAAGATTTATGATTTATTTGAAATACATGTACACCCCCGAACCCATTATAGACATTGTAAAAACAAAGCACAAAATATACATATGCATCTATGTATGTATGTATGGGTATTGTTTTGTCTTTTTGCTTTCGGTTAGTGCTTAATTAATAAATAAAAAACATTGGCTTGTTGTTGTGCAAGGTCTCACGCTTATCGCTCTAAGTTTCGCTGCTCCTTTTCATTATTGTTTAAATTCGCCCACAACTAAAATTAAGAAATTGTATTTAAAATTGCTAAGTTTTTGGTTTAATTTCAAGGACCCCTCCTTTATCCCAACCAGCCCCATTTCTTCTATAACATTCCGCAAATAAAGAATTAGCCAATAATTGTTGGTTCCCACCCCCTATCCCACATCTTTACCGCGAATACTTTCCGAAATATTGTCAAGTGAAATTTGTTAGATGATTTCTATAATTAACTACAATAATAATGAATAGAGAGCAAGGTATGTACTTAGTAGCAAGGGTGTTGGTTGTTTGTCAAAAATCAGTTTCTTTGACTTCCTTCGTTACAATTCTCGGTTTAGATCTGTTTTGTTACAATTTTCGGTTTATTCTCAGAAAATGGTTATTATTTATGTTGTTGTCGAACGTTACATAGATTACAGAAAATTGTTGTTCTTTATTTTTATGTTTCCCATTGTAACGTCAAGTGTTTCAAACGATTTTTTTCATTCTTTCTGATAAGTCCGCAAACGCATGTAAAGTTAAAAACGTGTGTAAGCTTTTTAACGACGCCATTTTCATTATGTTATATGCTTGTGCATATTTTTGTTGATGTGAGTCGCGGGTTCGTGTACATATTATAAGTGTAATAATTTTCCTTGACCTTTACATTTTTTTTAGGTTCAGGTAAATGGCGCGTGAAAAAGTTACATGCGTTTGCGTGTGATTTCTTGTTTTTTTTTTTTTTGTTTGGTTATTTAGTTTCTTTCTTCATTAATTATGTTTTTGGATCTTGCAATCAACTAACAGTTATTATCATCAGCTCGTATACCGCAGCTGACCCAATGCGCCCCTTGTTTGATATCGTCTTCCTTTTTGTGTGGATTGGTGTTATTTCTTCGCCTTGCAGTGTATGTGTGTGTGATCCCCTATTCATTTGTTATTTGTGGCAGCAGCATCCGTGCCAGTCCCGATTGTGTTACTTCCTTTTGCTTTTTGTGTTTGTTTCCATTTCTATTGTTGTTGCTGATGTGGTTAAATGGTTGTCGCTGTCGCTGCTGCTGCTACTGATGCTGCTTACACGATTTTTATCAAATCTCAATTATATATTTCGACCACTTTTCCGTCGCCGTCGTTCTCCTTTTCGATCATGCCCTCATTAGTAGCATTATTCCAGGCTCCATTCATGCTCTTGGACGAAGAGAAACACAGCTTCATGATAAACGGGAATTTGGTGCCTGCAGAGGCGGCGAAATTCGCAGAAACAAAGAAAGTAAGAAACAGAATTGAAATTGTGTATTTAAAATTGTTTGTCCATGCATTTTATAGTTTATATTCAGTGTAGCAATGTGTATAAGTGTTGTATACAATAATTAGGAATTTATTATTGTTTATTATTGTTTTCAATTGTATTCAGTAGCTGGCGGTCTCGGGACCTGTGAGTATGACCCTCGTTGCGATGGCAACATACAGAGCATTGGAGCATGTCCAATTATGGGACAGAAGGGTGGTAGGGTTGGTGACCATCATAAAATTCTTACATACTTCGGCCGTTTTGTGTGTCAAGCAATCAGAATCAGTCGAATGCAAAACAGTGAATCGCAGCCCACACATACACATGAATATGCATGTACATATGATTGCTCGCTGCATAATTTTATTGCCGCCTGAAAGTATGCAACGCTTGTTTGCATTTGGCATTTGCTGTTTGTGCTCTAAATAAAATATGTACAAACTTGCACGCATGCTTGCACTTGCACCACCACACATACACATACACACACGCACACACACACACTTGCTCAAGCATGAATGTGTGCTTGCGCGTGCATCAACATGTGCGAGCCTATTTACATTCTTTACACTTTTAATTACTGTTTACCGGGCTATCCAGCGACCCTTAGAGTAAGAAAAATGCATTGGCAAACATGCCAACCACAAAAATATTGACAAAAATATGTACGAGTATATGTATGTATATACGTGTATATGTGAATGACTCAACAGATGTTTGCACAACGATTTTTGCGCAAGGCGTAAACAATGGCTGCTGGGGTCGACTGGGAAAAGGCGCCTTTTGCCAGTATATGACAAATTACTTATGCGTATTACTCTTTGGGATGCCGCCAAAGTCGTGGGTGAAGAGAGAGGAGTCAGCGGAGCGAGTAAGCATGGCATTATTATGGAGAAACTTTATATCACTATTTATATACACATGTATGTATGGGTATATCACAAGTGATATAGGGGATAGGGATAAGAGCAGTTAGTGCAGGACATCTGAAAAACACAGAGCTGGTTATATGTTCCTTTACAAATACTTCCTGCATCAGTTCGAGGTTCGTGAACAACAGAATAATTGCTCTCAGATGGCGTTTAATCAATAGTATAAATGTATAAATGCAAACGCGATACCACTTTGCATTACAATTTCAATTTAACGCTTGTTGTTGAAAGGCGAGCGCATTATACATAAACAAGCATGAATAAAATTCAGAGCAATTCCGAAACCATAATATTGTACTGAAATATCGATGTGGTATGGATGTGGGCCGAAAATATTTATGAGAAAAGTTTTCATTGGTCGTTGGTAACCATCAAACACTTCGACACCTCCCACATCGCTCAGCTCAGCTCAGGTCCTATTAATGTGACTTGAGGCTAGAGCAAGGGCTGCGCGATTTGTGTAATTAACAGCCGAAATTGTTTATCTTAATTGCCAAATTTTATTTTTGATTGCGAGTGCGTACACGCACACGATTTTGCAGAACTGAAAACTTTCAACCAAGCCCAAGCTTGAAAATTGCACACATTTTCGTGTGCGGAATAAAATATGCGGAGCGGCTGGAGTTGTGGGGGTTGTAGTGGATGTTGCTGAGGGCAGCTCTGATTACAAAAGTCAAAAGAGCTTGAAGGACTTTTATGGGGTGGACCAGCCAAACAGTAACGAAAAATACCCTTCCCTACTCGTACTTGTGTTTGATTTGGGAAAATAGGTAATTTTGTGTAACGTTTATTTTTGGGGGCTCATTCGATTAGCCCTTATTTTGTTTACTTTTGGAAAACACTTAAACACAACACTATCTCACCTTTACCCTCAATCGGCAGGTGGTTGCACTTCATTATTGCCAGAACAGCCTGCGAGATGTTAGGGAACTCAATCAGACCCGATGACGATCGCTCGGTCTTCAAAGGAAAGAGGCGCACCGAGGTGGCGGGAACGTCCTTGATGTTAAAGATGCCGATCAGCTGGTCTTCGGTCAGACCGGGTGGTGTGTTAAAGAAATGTAAAATCTGCAACCAGTTCGGCGTATTAGAACGAGTAGGGCGTAGTTGTATTATAAAAGATGAAGCATTTACCTTGCTCGGTGGTTGTATTCGATTCTTGCTGGCCTGGGCCGGCGATAGGAAACGATTGTTCTTCGAACCAGTGTATTCCTTGAAGCTGGGTGTGTGATCAGGCAGCAAGAACGGATTAATCACCTCTGATAGAAAGTTTTGCTTCGAGAATGCTATCTGAATTTTTCCACCACTTCCAACGGGAATGTTATTCAAGTGCTGCACACAGCGCTCGACGGCCACTGAATCGCCCATTTGTACCATGGCGGTGCCTTCTTTGGTCTTCAAGAACTTAATCTAAATAAACAAAGCAGAATAAAATATATATTAGTAATAGTTATACGCAATGCATGTCACACTATCATACAACCAGCGAAATGGTCAATCGAAACGCCGAGCCAATTTAGCAAACACGGAGACAGATGTAAATAAACTCTTGTCTTGCACCCACATTTGATGAAATCTGGTTTGTTGTTATTGCCACCACTACCTTGTGTCTGTGTCCGTCTCGCTGTGTCACGGCATTTAACACGCAATTCAACTTTATTGAATTGAAATTGTAAAACATGAAAACGTCCTTAATTTGATAGTCATTGTGTTGGTTGCACATTTACTCCTGCTCATCACTTCGACAAAACTAAATAACAAGATTGATTTTGTTACAGTAGTAGAGCAATACCCTCTATCCAAAAAACTTCTATTGCTGGTGCGTGCGCATTCCAGAAGCAAATTACTTTTCATAGAATTAGCTGACTTGAATGAAATAGTGGTAAGGAATAACTTATTGATAATTGCAGAAGCTTTCGAATAGTAGAAAAAACAAGTAAAAAAAAGCTAAAGTCGGGTGTCCCGACTTTGAAATACTCTGTTTAGATCAATTATAGAAATTGGAAAAAATTAGAAAATTAAAAAAAATTTTTTGATCGATTTTACCTCTCTCGGTACGCGAACTCACGTAAAGGGAATATAATTGCACATATACAAAGCAATTGCGTCTATGTGAGTGTATGTATGTTTATGCGCGTCTATTCGTGTCTGTGTAAGCATGTTTGCAGTCAACCGAAGCATCAGCATCAACAACAGCTGCGGGCAGCGCTTGAGCAGGAAATATATGTATTTATGGCTATAACTTCTTGTTAAATAGGTCTATCATAGTGAAATTGGCATACGGACACATAATGACTAACTGGGGGTATTTGCAAAATTGGAGTTCGAAATTCCAAGAATTACGGGAGTTACGATTTGCGGGGGAGAAGGGGGAGGGATGGAAATTCCAAAGATATTCCATAGATTCCTCCAGTATGGACCAAATGTTGGGGGATCAATGACATACCATACGGTCTGCACATTTTGCCATAAATCATCTTTGTTTTTGGACTTAAGCCCAAAAATATTCTTTAATTATATAGGTACCTCTATGGAATTTAGGTCGGATCTTTGTGAATTCCGTTTCATCAAAGAACCTTTGATTTCATGAAACCTTTTTTTTTGCAAGCTGCGAAGTGTGTTTTGGGTCATTATTTTGGAAAACTCCCACATTAACGGCATTTCTTCCTCAGAATATGGAAGCATTATACTGTTAAGTATATTAACGTAATTCACAGCGCAGATCCTTAAACCAAAATATTAGACCAACATTTAATTATGATTTCCCTTTTCGTAGCTGTGAAATGATATCCCCGACCCATTCTTAATCATATACCAATATTAAGAGGAAAATTGGACAATAATTATACTCTATAAATGAAATGTACAGAAGTATATTAGGTTTGCGGGAGCTGAAAAATGTAACAGGCAGAAGGAGGCGTGGCAGACCACACAAAGTATATATATTCTTGATCAGCATGACGAGACGAGTTGATCTAGCCCTGTCTGTCTGTCTGTCCGTCCGTATGAACTCCTGGATCTCAGAGACTATAAGAGATAGAGACACCAAATTTTGCACAAAGATTCCTTATGTGTGTATTCTATACGAGTTTGTTTTAATTTTTTGATTTTCCCCTTACTTCCCCCCTATGGGGGTTTCCCGATTTTCCATTCGTATAATCGCCTATATCTCGGAGACTATAAGACCTAGGAACACCAAATTTCAGTCCCAGATGCCTTATGTGAATACGCAGAAAATGTATATTTTGGAATTTCCCTCCCTCCCCCCTCTCCCATGCAAATCGCGATTTTCTCTAACTCCCGTAACTCTTGGAATTTCGAACTCAAATTTTGCAAATTACCCCAGTTAGTTATTATGTGTCCTTATGCCAAGTTTCACTATGATAGACCGATTTACCAAGAAGTTATAGCCATAAATATATTTGCTGCTGCAGCGCTGCTCAAGCGCTGCTCAAGCGCTGCTCAAGCGCTGCCCGCGGCTGTTGTTGATGTTGCTGTTTGGTTGGCTGCTAACATGTTTACACAGACACGAATAGATGCGCATAGGCATACATACACTCACACAGACGCAATTGCTATGTAAATGTGCAATTATACACCATTTACGTGAGTTCGAATACCGAAAATCGATCAAATTTTTTTTTTTTTAATTTTCTTAATTTTTTTGTTTTCTATAATTATTGTAAACATATGTACAGAGTATTTCAAAGCGGGACACCCGACTTTAGCTTTTTTATTTGTTGTTATTTTGAGCTTACCCTTTACTTATAATGTTAAAAAATAATACCTAAATAAGTTTAATGGGCGCTTTACAGTGCACTATTTTTCCAAAAAGTGTATGCGTTTCTATTATTTTTTCCAACCCAAAAACGTGGTCACCTAACAAATCAGAGCACATTTTAAATTTGGACATCAGGTTAGCACACAGCATTTGTTTTTAATTTTTAAACCCGTTTTTAATAAGAACTAATTTTTTAACTTATATAGTAACTAATTTAAACTATTCGTTATAATTTAAAAAATGAGGCGATCCTTGTTGAGAATGAACTCATATGTCCATTTTGGAAGATATTCGTACAACTTTCCAATATAACTTAAAGAAATGGCTGACTAAGCACTTTAAATGCCTTCAATTAATTCCTTTTTGGTAGAATACTGTCTGCCAGATTCGTAAACTTTACGAACCTGCCATACCCACACGTTTTCTATTATATTGATGTCCGGTGAGTAAGGCGGCCGCTTCAATAAATCGACGTTTTGTGCTTCAATTTTGATCAAGATTTGATCACCCGGGCAGTATGAATCGAAGCAGTGTCTTGTTGAAAACATCTAGGTAATTCACCAAGCAAATTTTTGGAATGGAGAAAAGCAGTTTTCATTACGTTTTTATAAATGTTTGCATTCATATTCGTGTTCAAAAATTGCGACTCGCACGTAACATAACATGAGCTGGCTACCCGCTCCATTACACCGCCCACACGACTATGAAGTCGAACCAACTGATGCTCATTCTTCCGAAGATCATGGAAATAATAGTTATATCCATCGGATCATTCCAAATCATATTTCTTTTCATCCGAAAAGAAAATAAAGCTCCAATCAAAATGTATGCAGAGTTTGATTTAATCACATTTCCTTCCGAGCATAGTTAAGTGGTGGTTTTTTCTTTAGTTTTAATCTTTTCAAATGTGGAGCATTCCCTAACACCCTTTAAACAGTAGATAAGCTGGTTCAAAACCATCATTTGCCCTGATCTTTAAAAAATAAAATAAACTCGTCCTTCCTCGAATCTAGGAGAATCTGGATACCAACTTTTATAGTTTTTGAACTCCTTGCGTTCATCCAGACGGACGGATATGTCTAGATCGATTCGTCTCGTCATGCTGATTAAGAATATATATACCCCATAAGGGTCGGAAATGTTTCCTTCTGCCTGTTACATATTTTGCGCCAAACTTAATATACCCTTAATACCCTACGGGTACAGGATGTAAAAGCGACAGTTTTATTATTTAAATTTAATTTGAAACGATTTATTCAAAGACCTAATGTAGATAAATAAATGACTTAGCATAATACAAAAGTGTCGAGGGTCAGTAGTTAAGAGAGTACGCGTCGAATCGCTCACGATAGAGAAGCATCGGCTAAGCGCACTAGGTCTGGAATTAAGCTAGATGAGGAATGAGATCATATATAATTATATGGAAACTTTTGAGTCGGCACAAACCAACAGAAATCCTCAAAGAAGGCAATTTGTAAGACATTTGTATGGATATATGGAAATAGACTTAACTTCCTTAACCGGTCCATTTATTACTATCCAACATGGGTATCGTTGCGCGTGATACATTTCTTCTACTTCAACAGGTATCAAGACCGGAATGTTAACATTTTATATTGAAGAAAGAAGCTCCATCGTTACCTTAATGAGGCACTTTTGATTGATCGCGAAGTTTTACGATCATAACGGCAGGCAATACATATACAACCAAAAGAAAAGTTAATTAGCTGCAATTTCGAGCCAGTAATAGCCACCAAACCAACCAAGCGCTTTTCATGAACCACAAATGGCCAAGCAAGTGAAAGTGAAAAATCAATGGCAATGGCCATCCAACTGGTTAGCTGATGCATATTGTCCGGCTGACTGCGTAATCAGTTTGCTACCCAGCGGGCCATTGAACCCTCTCTGGAGGGTGAAGTGGGGACCACAGCTGCTAGTCATGCTTGCGCAGTGGAAAAACGAGTTCAGCGCAAGTGCTCGAAACAACCGGTAGCTGCAAACGGTTTGCTTTGTTTTTTTTTTAGATTGGGCCTTTTTTGATGTCGTTCGCGAAAATTGGTCTGACATCTTGCGTTGTTGCAAAGACGCTGCCCATTCTAAATGAATTATAAAGCTAAAAAATTCAGATATTTTGCTGAAATCACGGACAGGAAAATTTTTCTATGGGGCTCTAAATACGAAGTGTGGCTAATGTGGGTTCAGCTGTGTCCCAAATTCAGGGACTCATTCAGATAAGGCTGGATCAATTTGTCTCATCATGCTGATCAAGAATATATATATTTTGTGGGGTCTGCCACGCCTCCTTCTGCCTGTTACATTTTTCACTTCTCGGAAACCTAACATACTCTTGTATATTTCATGTACAGAGTATAAAAGGGATAGTAAACTCAATGTACATTAATGTAATGGTAATAGGAGTCTAGTTTATATAGAAACAAACAGGCAAATATATGTACATACGTACACATGCACATGGCTATATCGATTGGGAACTATAACCGTTGGTTAGGTGAAGATATATGCTAAGGGAAGTAGAACTTTGACGTTAGTTGTTAGTTCAAGAATGTTGTTAAAATGCCGTGGACTCATTAACTGTCGTCAAATTATACTTCACCCAGAAAATTTGTAT